ATCCGATCATGCAGCTGCTGCTCAAGCATCGTGGGGACAAGCTACCAGTTCCTGAAGAGGTGGTCAAGGCGGCGGCAGCGAATGAGGAGCAAGGATATCCGATCATGCAGCTGCTGCTCGGGCATCGTGGGGACAAGCTACCAGTTCCTGAAGAGGTGGTCAAGGCGGCGGTGGCAGAGCAATGGAAGCAGCCTACATAGTTATGTGGCAGCAAATTTTTTTTAAAATCATGTCATCTATCTCCCATATTTTCTAACCTCTTTGCAAAAGAAGGGCCTGGGATGGCAAGGGTTTATCTACGGTTGTCGTTGGTTACGAAGAATTGTCCAGGGCTTTCCGGGTGATTGCGTAAAATTTTGTCAGTTTGCCACTTAACATTATGTGTCCGGATATTACGGGACTGTGTTTCACTAGCATGACATCACGTTGCTGCGGTGTCGTTTGATTTCCGGGCAGCGCTATACCATACGTAATCGGACAACGAAGCGGCGCGACAACGAGCCGCCGCTCTACCTACCAAATATGTAACGATCAATCAAAATCAAAGCAATTCAGCATTATATAGATGAATATATATGATTAAAATAAAAATTGACTTTATGTAGATATTCAACTAATTATAAATTTTTTTATTATAATTACTGTAGTATAATAGCGAGTAATAAATATTTTCTATTATCTGCTTATCTTAATATCAAAAACTGCAGTATACACCTTTTTCATGGCAAACTGACCGTAACTAAAGACTTTACAGGTAAGTACTAGTCTTCTATCTTAATAAATTTTCTTACTATGTTTAAGTAGCTTCAATTCTGACTGAATTTAGTAAGATTGAATATTGTATATCTTCGAGATATACGGCGGTGAGGGTCACCGACGGCTCGTTGTTATTATGTAATCTATTGCGGCAAGGATGCTTAGATTGCCGGGTCCGTGACTAGAATACCTGTCATTACCGTACAGTAATCAATACATCAAGATTGTCGGTTAACACCATTCTATACTTAGATTAGCTTGGTTTCATCTCAGGGTTGCTGAACCAATCAAAAAGAGTAAGTAGTGACACCGGTATCCGGACGCACTGTAGTGAAAGTCTGATATGTCAGTCGAGATAGTGAGACTCTCTGGTGATAAGAGCAGACTAGAATCAAGAAGGGCTGCTGACAGGCTCAGGAAAACAATGAGCAGAGCCAGGTTGGTTGTATTACTCATGCTGCAGGATTGTGGTTGATAGAAATGTGTCGATAGAGGCGCCACGAGCGAGGGAACGTGGGGAGCATGTCAGGAACAGGTGGCCCACGTTTCTTGGGTCTCCCTTAGTCATCCGAACATCTGGGCTGACACTCGGCTCGGGGCTGACATCGAATCCGGGTGGTGGATGACTCGTTGAGACCGAAGAAAGATCGACGATCTTCCGAACGCTCAAATCATGCTGCGTTCACTTGCTTTTCAACTTTACCAAGGTAGGATTGACTCTGCAATTTATCTTGATGCTTTGTTTCAAGCACACCAGAATGGCAACAACCAACCTACGACCAAGGCGTTTTGGGATGTTGTTTTGAAGATGCTCCTGGCAGAGAGGAAGGTCTATATCGTTCTGGATGCATTGGATGAATGAAAAACAAGGAATGATGTTGTCGAGTGGATCAAGGAGGTGGTTTCTAGACCAGAGTTAGTCCATGTCCAGCTGCTTTTTACCGGACGACCTGAATCCGAGTTTTTTCGCCATATTCCCTCTTTAATAGGAGGTCAAAACTGCCTACCACTTGATAAGCATGCTGTCAACACCGATATCCGGTCGTGGGTTACAGCACAACTTTCTCAACGGCGTGATTTTACAGAGAAGTCCTTGTCTCAAAATCTCCTTGGAGAGATCCAGAAGAAGGTTGGCAACGGAGCCGACGGGATGTGAGATGATACCGCTTCAATCAGTATTCTGTTGACATGCTGACTCTCTGCTTAGGTTCAGGTGGGCGTTCTGTCAATTGGACAGCCTAGCTCGATGTCGTCACGAGGCAGCTATAGAGGAGGCTCTCGTTTCTTTACCGCGGAACTTAAAAGAGACATACCAGCGTATGATCAAGAGTATACCGATAGAGCATAAAAACGACGCAATACGTCTCCTACAGTTCCTAGTACACTCCAAGAGACCTCTCAAGCTGGCTGAGGCTAAAAAGTAATAGCAACGCAGACCGAAAACGAGTCGCAGGGGTTCAACATCAAGCGTCGATTGTTTTCCGACACTGATTTTCTGGAATACTGCCCTGGTTTAGTGACAGTCGTTCACGGCACTGATGGAGAATTACATCTTGCCCACTTTTCCGTCAAGGAGTTCCTTCTCGAAGTTAATGACTTCGGAAATACGACCGCCAGCATTTCTATTACGAGGACGTGCTTAACTTATCTTACTGACATCAACGAAAGCGACAAAGGGATTCGTTGGGATTTTCCGCTGGCGAGATATGCAGCAGAAACCTGGACAGGCCATGCTGCGTTGGCTCAGGCTTCCGAAGATATAGTTCGAGCGACAGTCACGTTCCTCGAAAATGAAACGACATTCCAACGATGGGCTCGTTTGTATCAGGCTGATAAGAGATGGAGCAGCGACCCTGGTCCTCCGCAAGGTTCTAGGCTCTACTATACTTGCTTCAATGGGCTCGTAGCACCCGCAAGAGAACTCATTCGAAAAGGAGCTGATATCAATGCACAGGGCGGCTACTACGGTAATTCTCTCCAGGCCGCCTCGGCGAACGGCCATCAAGAAATAGTCAAACTTCTCTTGGACAAAGGAGCGGATGTTACCGCGGATGGCGGTGAAGTTGCCAACTCGAGCGATTATCCATCGTAGAGGGCTGACATAACTGCCTATCTTCCAAATATGTCGCATTCCCCCTGTGGTCCATGCACCGCAGCTTTTGGACAATAATCAGGCTGGCTACCACCGTTCTTGACACAGACGCGTCTCATACAGGTGTTACTAATCCAATGTTGGGCCATGCTGGCGTTTTCACCTGTTACCATTTTCGATCTATTGTCATGGCCAACCTCTGGGTGGAGCTCCTGCAAATTATTGATAGCCCCCAGGTTTTGATCCGCTTTCTTTGTCCGTACCCATTGACTATTTAATATGACTCGGAAACGGTCACGTTCTCCCTCCCTTCTCCCCCGTGATGGTCTCCCCAACTCTGGCAGTTCTACGGCCATAGCAAAGTAGCTAGCTTTGTACAGTAAAGAAGCATTGGATTTTTTTCTGACCAACCGCCCCGAGAATACTTCGAAGGTGTACAGTACTGTTCTCTTATTTTCTAATCTCTTTGGAAAAGGAGGGTCCGGGATACGTAAAGCCTATATACCTTTGCTGCCTACAATAAGTATTGTTCCGTAATTTCTTGACTATTCGGTATGTAATCACCGCTAGTTTGCCACTCATTTTTGGTCTAGATGTTTCCATGTCAATGGACAAGCCATGGATTGCTATCTTACATGTTACGTGTTATTACAGTACACTGTTCTGTCTCCGCAAATCATTCTTTCAACTAGTTCCAAGCTAGGACTAGCGTGGGTTCACACTGGGGTTCTTGAAACAATCAAAGAGTAAAAGTAGTGACACCGGTATCCGGAAGCCCTGTAGAAAGTATTTACCCTCTCTTAGGTACAGGAGCATCTCTAGCCACATATGTGCTCTATGTTTCCGCATCCGAAGGAGGTGTGTACGAGTAAAAGGTGCGTGCAGATATCAAGGCAAACCATGCAATACCAATTAGGTCACTAGGAGACCAACGGACTTCCGACAGAAGATGCTGCTTGAAAGCAATGAGCAGCTTTCAAAATCCATAAGGGTACAACAAACCTTTTTCAAGTCTTCAAACGAGCCAGCTGACGTCGTCGCCGAGAGGAATTCAATAGCAGCTGGGCACTTCTGCCAGCGATCAAGATTGTCAATCCCAACCGCCCCGTCATCCTTGGCATATTTCTGCATAAGCTGCATCATTACTCGCGCTATAGGCGCTAAATCGTCTGCTTGGACCCTTCCTGGTGGTCGAACAGTCCAACAATCGATCCGTGCTAAGGTCTTCGGTTATAATTGTTTTTGTGGTGGGATCTAGCAATGGAGTTACCAATTTGAATCTCCCCTTCGAGGCTCATTAGTATGCTGGAACAATCCAGTGACGTATGCTGGAGATTCTGGGAGACAAGATATGACAGTCCATCAATAAACTGGGAACAGTTAGCAGTCACATATATCAACATGAGACTGGATATGACCTGAGATAGAATGGCAGCCAGCTGCTGCTGGTTTGGAAAGGCTTTGCAGGCGACGACATGATCTAGCGTGAGTGGATGGAACTTGCTGACGGTATACAGGGAATCAGGGGTGCGGAAGCACTGCCAAACAGAGTCCACATTTCCATGCCGCGTGGACCGGAGGGTTTTGAGGATTCTGTCAGTGTCTTTGCGGGAATACTGGCGAATCGCCCAGACTGCACGGCGACCAGAGCATCGGACACATACAGCAACAGTGCCTGCCAAGTCACATTCATAAAATTTCTTGAAAGTGTCCCATGGAGGCTCGTCCCGTATAACTAGATCGGAACCCACATTGTTCCCCGACAACCTAGTGGCCTCCGGAAGAGCCAAGCCTCGTGGTTGGCCTCGGATGATCTTACGACTTGGCTCCGCAGGCGAGGAAACAGTAGGCCTTTTGGCCAGACGCACGCTGGATGGTATGGTCTCTTTGGGCTTGTATCTGGGCACAGGTAGTGAGGGCACCGTAGCTACAGTATCAGGGGGAGGTTGTTCAAGCAGAGGAACCTTATCCGCGATGAACTGGGTGGCCCGCTTGCCATCAACGGGGCCCATAGTGGTCTTTGAAGTTATCAAGTCCGAATGGTGGAATTTACAAAAATGAAAACAATGAACGCGACCGAGGGGCGCAATTTAAGTTAGCCTGGGCTAGGGTTGCTGCTGGAGTTTGAGGGCGCTGCGGGGAGCTTGCGTTCAGGTTGAAGCAACTGTGGTAGCACCGCAGTGCTACTGGAGTATTACCGCAGTGCTACTGGAGTATTACCGCAGTGGACGGCGCATAAGAAATATATACATTCCGTCATAATACCAACTTCCCTGCTATCGCTCTTGATACCTGTTTCATTTCTACCACTGCAATGCAGCGGGCTCTATTTACGGAGGAAGAGGTCCGGCTGGCAACGGAGCGGCGCTCGAAATACCTAGGAACAGCCAAGGTTAGCATCTATCAAATCCATTTCGATCCTCCATTGCCCCGGGAGCTCGACCCCAAAAACGTAGATCGGCTCTGTGAAATCTTCCGCAAAAACCAATGTCGCCGCCTAGATGTCGACAATCACGTCCCGGCGATCGTGTCTCGGCAAGACCTCGCTGACGCGTTGCGGAAGGCAAATATTCCGCAGCCAAGTCTGCTGACTAATGACCCACGACAATGTCCCCGACTGGGGTTTGGGGTGGGGCAATTACGGGCCCTCCATGGCCGTCATCGTGTGCAAGCCGGAGCTACCGTGCTTCCTCCTACCGATCGTTGGTGGACGGTTGACCTCTATGAGGACGGTGTGTATTGTACGTTTCATTTTTCCGTTCTCTAAAGGGCTGACTGTCATCGTAGATATTGGTGAAGAACTAAGGACCTCTCTGGTAGAGGAATATGCAAATCAAAAGAAACCGACCGACGGGGAAATATATCGTAAGATCCGGCAGTACGAGGGTGAGGATAACGAAGCTTTCCGGGAGCGGTGGTTTGTCCGGCTGTCATCCAGCAATCAAGATCGCTTGGATCAGTTAGACAATAAAAGAAACCGTCGTGTTCGGCGGGCCTTCGATCGGTTACTGCCAATTCCCGGGCTCTGGCCACATGGGATGAGGATCAGCGTGCTCCACCGATTGATTGCTACAGGTTGCGTTGAAGTGGGTCTCTAATCCCACCTTCCACCCCGCTAATCAAGTTCTCACCGCTCTGTAGGAGATCCTAAACTATCTCAACCATGTCAGAGACTTCTGGTCCTCCTTAGTTGCTTCGGATCCTGTTTCGATGAAGAAGATTGATCTGGATACTGTTGACGCCTTGCAGTTGTTGGCACCAGGGAAATCCCGGGCCGATGCCAAAAAGGCATGTGGGCTGATCCTTAGTGGCCAGGCATTTGCAGAATTTAGCGAAGAAGAACGAAGGATTATATGGAGCCGAATGAAAGACTTTGACGGGCTGATTCCGTCCCTGTACACCTTTTTTGAGGACTTCAAGTATCTGGAAAGTTGTGCGCAATGCGTGAAGCGCCTTTTTGGGCCATCAAGTGAATCTGTTTGGGCAACTATGAGGTCAATGTTTGTGCCGCCCTTAGATGAAGAGGTACAAGAGTGTCTGATCCAGACTTCCGAGTCCACTTTCCGGCGTCAACGTGCAACCGACGTGGAGCGTCTTGATATGGGATATTTACAGGTATGGTTATATGCAATGCGACATTATCCCTTGATGCCCCCGGACGCGAAGAATGATGATGACCTACTGGCCAAGCCAGCGCGTGCCAAAGCTGATGAGAGAGCGATCTACGAGATGGCCGAACTGGCTCGCCGGCTTGGATTCAAGTCTCCGGAAATTGATACATTAATAGACAGTTCCCCAGACCATCAGATTGCACGGGCGGCTCTGCTGCAAGCCAGAAAACCCAATAAGTTCCGATACGACGCCGGGCAGTTCGATGTCTTGGTCAACCGAATTGTCGACTGCTTCGCGGTGGCGGTATCTTACCAGCCTGACATAGTACATGATACTCTTGCAGACAGTATCATGAAGCCCCGGGCTCGCTGTGGGATGCCCCAAACCCGAACCCATAAGCAAGATGGCCCTTTGCTTTTCCTTGACCGCTTGCAGGTTGAGGATGCTGGAATCTCCGACACCATCACTAGCTTTTTTGTCCGCCGCTGTGTCTATATCGCCTTCTTCGGGAAACCTGCACAACCTGGGCCTGCTGAAAACGACCCGGCTGAAGGGTCTCCCGGAGGCCATCCCGGGTCACCATTGTTCGTCGAAGAGGACGCTCTGTCAGGGGATCATGAATCAGCTCCGCAAGCGGCATCGCCAGAGACGCCCCCTCGACAAGAACGAGAAGAGCCACGGCGGCAGCGGATCCGACAAAATAGGGAACATCGCCCTCTGCGTTATCTGCAGACGTCGAGGGTTGTGAAAACAGGTCGTGGTGTTCGAACACGACGACGACGAGCGCGGAAAGCCCAGCTGTCACGCCCAATAGATGACCAAGAGCCCTTGGATTCGGAGTGGCAGAACGCGGACCCCTCAGATCAGGTCATGTCAGATCACGAACATTTATCCCAGGAACTTTCTGATGCAGTATCAGAAGGGGAGTCAAGTAGCATTGATTCGCGGATGGCGTTCACATTGCATTCCATTCATGATCCTGATACTCCGGAAGAAACGGATACTCATAGTCGCTGCACGAGACTTTCCGCTGGAACTATTCGACCTGAGCAGGATTTGAAAGACATACCAACACCCGAGGCCCAGTATCAAAACAATGACTTTGAAAACCAGGTGGGGATCGATCGCCCATTACTGACACAGTCAACGGAACTGGAAGACGACGAATATTCCGAAGTTCACATCGCTGGCAGACAACAGGTATTGGACGAGTACCTTGATCAACTGATGAGGGCCCAGGAAGAACAGGAGCGACTGGAAGAAGAAATAGAACGCGAGCGGCTCGAGGAAGAGCTTGGTCTTTCTAACCAGGAGCGTCCAATTTCGGAAATGCCATTTAGAGCTCACGAAAGGCAGGTCTCGTCACCGAGGATCCCCGCGAACGAGCCACCGAAGGAGACGCATAATGAGGGGCCAGGCTCAATACGGGAACCCATTGCAGAACCTACTCGAAAGTCATCGCCTGTTTCTGATCATGCAGATCTACCTGAGCTCATAGTGGAGAATCCCGAAATTGCAGCGCCGGCTATCCGGGACAACACCAATAACCCCCGTACTCGAAGTCCTCCAGAATATGATCAGCCCGCTGGGCAGACCCCAGTATTACCAGATCTTGTTGAGATATCCTTTTGGACCTTTGAGCGAGAGGAGTGGAGGCAGTCCGACCGGCTCCGAGTGAATCCTTCCGATCCATCACCGGTGGAACGAGTTGCGCGGAAGTATTCATGGAAGAGCTATTCGCTGTATGATAAAAACCTTCAGAGCCTCAGCCCCGCACAATGTTATCGCGCAGCCACTGCTGACGACAGCAATACCATATTCCTGATCTCTGAGCCTGAGGAGCAGAGGCTCGCAGCGGAAGGCCGACTCAACAAGGACAGGCAGCTTCTATCCTTGGTCTCTCGAGTCCTGAATCGAGCGGAAACCGAGCCGAAGTCTCCTAATAAACGTCACCGTCCTATGTCGCTCGGAAGAACATAAGAGCGTTTTTAGGAGTGGTTCAGAAATATGTAGCTCTACCTATGACGTTTGCATACTTGTGAGCTGCATTGCTTCGAGAAGAACGTCTTAGAGTAGCTATAATTACGAGAAAATCCTTCTGTGTTGTTGAGCCACATATATCGATCACTTTATGAGGTGTTTTTTGAGCAGGAACTCATGACATTATGTTGATAGGTGAAAGATCATAGGCTATTCTAGGACACGGAAGTGATAGATCAAAAAGAGCTTTCCATAATGAAATGGCTCCTGAGAAAACCCTCTTGTGAGGAAAATAGCCATGTGAGGATCTATTCAAAACTAGAATTTATATAAGATGTAGACAGTCATGTGGAACACCTCTTTAAAACCCAAGCCTTCTAGAAACGTCACCTTATAGCCATTACGATCATAAGACATTGCGCATAGAAGGTTACAGCATGTATGGCTGCTGCATTCGTCCTGGATATTAAACGGAGGAAACCCCTCCAGAAAGACCACCGATCTTGTTCCTAACTAGTCGGTCTATTTTTCACCTGTGGCGCTTGCGGTCAGACGAAGCTAGGACTGGTAAATGAGAATCGCGGTCAAAGCTAGGGCTGCGGTCTTTTCTTTCCCCTCCTATTGCCCAGTCTTCTATCATAACTGGCCAACGCGGTTTTATCAGAATCAAAACCAGGTCGGCCAATGAAGCAGGACCTGCGGGTCTCTGCTTGCGGGCAGAGTGTTGCGAATGTCCATTCGTTACGATGTGCTGCGCCGCAGTCGGCCCTCCCAAGTACCAGAAGTAGATTGTGATTGGTCTCATTACCTGAAAAGGTGGGTCATCACTGCGTACTTCCCGCAGGGGCCCTCTTAAGTGTTCCTCCGATTTGTACCGCTGCGGGTCCGGCGAACTTTCCTACAGATAGCCATGGTGGATGTCGGTCTGCCAGAAGGTGAGAGCCAAACCCATAAAGGCGCGAGACAGATTGGTGAACCTCCATCTTTCTTATAATTAACCGGTCGGCGCAAAAGTCGCGCAGGGAGGGTGATGAAGGGTGATAAGGGATGGGCTGGTGTGACGACATTGGGTGATACTGTACCCGACAATGCTGAGGCTCAGAAGAGCAATGTCAATAACGCCGACAACTGCACAAGTGGGTAGAGTCGGGATCTCATGTAATAATGATCAAAGCTGCCTCGTTGCACGTAAAAGGTTTATTCCAACCTGAGCTGTCAAGCTTGCGGGCTTTTCAAGGGCAGGCCTGCTGTAAGCTGAGGATGTGGTGCTCCGCAGAAGTCCTCGGGCCTAAAAAATCCGGACAGAACTCTAGTCTAAGGCTGCATGTAGTGCACACCGGATCAACAGTCAGCATTAATACATTCACAAATCGCGGATCTATCTATGAAACACATATAACTCCAGAAGGATTTGATCGAAGATTCTGGCAATCACATAACAACTTTCTTGAAACTCGGGGCTTTCTAGCTAGGAAACGGCAAACGCCCCATCGAGAGGACACGCTTCAATTTGTCCTTGACATGGGCCGGAAGTTATTCAATCGTCACTAATGGCCACAAGAGAAACAAATACATTCTGTTGCCGGGGCTCTAAATGATCGCGACAAGGTAAGCTCCCATGAAACAGTCACCGACCCAACCATAGCTCCACTAGTTGTGTTCAAAGAGATAAAAATGTAAATGACGGAAGGGCTTCCAAGATTGGAAAAGTAGTACCCTACGGTCATGTTCGAAGGCCATGGACATCCCCAGCATGCCTCCGCAAGTGCATCTCGTGCAGGATGGACAGATCACAAGAGTTACATTTCCGATCCATCAAATGCGATGTTCTGAAATGCCTCTTCACTCCATTATAGTCAGAGTATGCTTTGGGGCATTGGAAGCATGCGAATGTTTGCTCTGCATTCGGGATATGTTTCTTGCCGGAGGTACGTTCTTTCTCCCACGACGTAGTCGGCGGCGTATCAGTCTTTATCTTTCGAGCTGGCGGAGAGGGAACTACATCATTGTCGGACGGCGCAGAGCGCTTCGGTCGTCCCCTAAGTGGCCCACCCTCCTGGAAGCCGCAATATTGCACTCCAGCTGCAACGGCTTTATTACGCCGTGTCCACTCATCTTCCAATGAATCGGTGGTGGGCCAAGTAAAGAACGTCTCCACGAGAAGAATCTGTTCTGATGGCATCGCAAACTCTTTGCGTAATACCTCGCGCGCGGGCTCATCACTGACAGCTCCACCCGTCAGTTGTCTTTCAATGTCAATTACCGCCTGTTTTCGACTGAAATCACGGCGTATTTCCTTCCGCCGTTTATCCTGCAGACGTCGGCGCAGATTGTGGACTTGACGCTTCTGGTCCTCCAGCATCGCCCGCAATGTTGGGTCATGAGGCCGGTCACCGCACTGGGTCTCTAACTCGAATTGCCAGCGCATGGCCGATTGCAATTCTGGGTCTTTCTCCACTGATGCCCGGTCAGCGTCACTCAGGTATCGTGGTCGCCTCCGATCAATCCAACGGCTCATCCGGGTCACAGCCTTTGAGAACTCTTCATCAGGATTGAGGCCGCACATGATCTCTTGTAAGCCAGTATGTCGACGGGGACGATAATGCTTAATAAACGTGCTGCTAGTAGCGTGGTTCATGATCACATTGCGTTGTGCGTCACTGACGAAACCTGGACAAAAATCTTAGTCTGCCCGCCATATAAAGGAGAATTATGGCGTTTGTAGTTCACTTACCACTCTTGTCAAGTAAATCACCTCCTCCGTACCGGAATTGGTGAGAGAAAAAATGATTAAGGAAGCCGTGTATCTCACTGGATGTCCTGAGCTGGGCGTCGAGTGTGCTTCCACTCATGGGCGTCTCCCACAAAATACAGGGCTGACCATCGATCACTTCGACTTTTGGGAAGACATAGTAATTATCCATATCTTTTTTCAAGGGGAGTGGCATTTCCTGTCGGCCGCCCTCAATAAGCAGTCGCCGGAGGTCTTCCATCGAGGTCAAGTGAGGCGCTTCAAACGCATGGATGTAAAATAATATAGTCAGAAGCAGGACATGTGGGCTGAAGACGAGTGATACGCCGTAGACGATTTCAGGTAGCGTGAACGTGTTGCTGAGTAATCAGTCAGTCCAATTGTAGCAGACAAGCCATGAGATGGGTAGCTGTGTACGACACCGGGTGCCACCTACAGCTTCGACATGCCCAGAACGCTTTTCACAAACTCGGGCTCGAATTCTATCGTCGTCACCGGAGGTCCTCCGTGCGGATCCTGCTGGAGCGATAATTGTAGATGCTTGAACTGAAGATCAAGAATTGCGTGTTTCCGGTTGATGGTAAATAGTCCAATAGTGTTGTACAAACACAGAATAATCCGCTGAAACCCCAAGTGGAATCGCTTTTCCCGAGTTGAAAGGATTGTCTCGTTGAATGGGACCATATCTTCAATGTACACTGGGACATTTGCCCGCGGTTGTTTGTCAAGGCCACGTTTATCGACCAAGTATCTCATGCCCTGTCCATTTTCGTCAGAGCAATCCTTGGGAGACGATAGGGGGATCGAGAAACAAACCGTACGAACAGCCTCACCCATCTCTTTGCTCATCTCATGTTTAGTAACCCGTATGTAGTATATTCGAAAGTACTTCCAATCTGCATCAAGGGCGCTGGCCTTTGTATAGCCTTTCTGACGGCGACCATCGGGACTGTACTCCAGCTTTAAACACCAGTTCAGAAATCGATGCACCTCATTTGGAGACGCTTCACGCAGTGCATCTTCCGCATCCCCCCACTTTAAATCGGCGGACGGCTCCATCGCTTTGACTTGGCAGAACCTGAGATGAGGCATGTCGGTCAGTCGATGGTAACTCGCTGTAAGCTTTCAACGATATGCTGGTCGCTTACCAAGCCCAACGCTCTTTCAGTCGAAGTTTCAGCTTCTTCGTGTTGTTAGATCGGCCGTAATCCTCCGGCACCTGGGCCAGGTCCTCATCCGTGTCATCGTCTGGGACTTGATATCGGGCCCGGTGGACACTTTCCACATTCGGCGAGTCTGCCTGTGACGATTGTATTCCAGTGCTTGGACTTGACTTCTTCCGAGTGATCTTCCGAGCTGCTGGAGGAGAACACTCTGGCTCGGTGAGATCCGTCTCAGAGTCGGGCTCGAACGGTCTATCATTGTCGGTATCGATGGGAGAGGTGCAAGAGGATTCGCTTGTGATTCCGTGGTTGCTGACTATGGGCCTCCTCCGACGATGCATGGCCAGAATATTTCGCCGGTCGTGCGAAGGAACTGCCACGGAGCTCGAGACGTTCTAGTGCACGACTGAATAGAAGGTAGCACGAGGGATGATCGGAGGGAGAGCTCTGGAATGGTGGTTGAGTCGAAATGAGGAGTGTTGGACGAAGGATGGCTAAGAAGTAGATATTTATAGCCATGGCGGCCGGGTGCTGGCCAGAGCGCAGCTGGCGGGATGCTGAAGGAGGCCATTTTCAGCCCCCCCCTCCCCCTACTAGGGGTCCAGAGAGCGATGGTGAAGCGAATGATGAGCCCTCAGGAAACCAACGACGTAAGCGCGCACGGAATAGCAGCCTGAGGCAGGAGCGGTGAGTGATGTGGTGCGTGGTCGAAAGAGGCGGGAGCGTGGCGGAGGGATGTTGCTGAAAGGCGGCCATTTTTGGCGTCATCTACCGCCGAAAAAGGCAGCGGAATAGCAAACCGCAATTCTTTAAAAGTAATATTTTTATATAACCACACTACTTAGTTCTAAATATAAGAATATATTAATAAATTACTGCTAATACTAAATAGTATTTTATAAAATTTATTTATTTTATTAATTCTATTCCTATTATTTAATATTTTTTTAAGCCTATTCTAAATTCTATCTAGAAGGAGAGATCTAGATATTTAACTAAGTAAATAATATAGCTACTCTAACTATTTTTAGAAACTATACTACTAATAAGTAGCTACTTAAGAAAATTTTTATTAAAATTAATATATAATTATAATATTATATATTAAAGTTTGCGCTTAATAAGTTTAAATTTATTTATTTTAAGAATTCTTATATTTTTAATCTTAATTTAAATAAACTAGATAAACTGCCAGAGGTTATTAATATCTAGAAATATTATAAAAAAAAAACTATAATTATCTATCTATTATAGTCTCTATTAATCTATTAATTACTATTTAATCTTTAGAATTAGTCTAATATCTCAGTATCTAGTTTAATAAGACTTTTTTATTTAATATTTACCAGACTAAGGCTGTTATTAAAGCTAGTAAAAGTCTTAAAGTTTTTTAAAATATTATAAACTTTATATAAGATATTTTAGTTATTTTTATATATAAGATCTATTACATGATAGTTATCTTATAATTATTATATAAAATTACTATATAATACAGCCCTATTAGCTAATAAATCTCTACTAAGTAATAGACTTATATAAAAATAGAGTTTACTAAGATCTAGAGATATACAGCTATCTTAATTAATAAAATTTTTAAAAATATAATTATAACTATACTTAATATTAAACTTTACCTACTATCTATAAGATAACTTATATAGTAAATAATTAAAAAAATTATTTTATATATCTAGATAGGGCTAAAGATTATCTAATCTTAAGATTTAAAATATTAATATTATAAAAAGATATTCATACTTAAAAATATAAATCTATTTAAAATCTTTAAATAGATAAAGAATATAATTCTTACCTCTACTACTCTATAATAAAAAAAAATATAGAAAGTCTATAATATATTCATACTAGCCCTTTAAAAGCTATATATTTAAAGTAATATCTAATTCTATAAAACTATACTTATTAATTATAACTAATTTTACTATACTAATACTATTATTTTATATATAGATAGCAGTAACTACCATAAAAGTATAAAAGTTTTTATAATTAATTTTTATATTAGATAAGTCTAGAGAGTATATCTAAGTACTAAAATAGATTTAATCATATATATAGCTGAATTAAAGAATATTAAAATAACTTTTATTCTTATAAAAAGTACCCTATTAAAATATAATTTTAATAAGGTCTATATTTTCACTGATAATTAAATTATAATTTAAATAGTAAAGATTTCTAGTTATCTATCTAGGCAGCTATATATAAAAATTATCTATAATAAATTTAAAATTTTATAAAATATAGATTTTACAATCTATTAGATTCTTATCTATATAAAAATTAAAGAAAATAAGATTGTAGACTCTAAGGTAAAATAAACAGCGGAATATAAAACTAAACTAAAAAAATAAATAATTTATTTTATATTTATTATTAAAAAGACCGTTCGTAGCAGATTCTAGAAAAAATAAATTAAATAATAAAAAATAAAATATACAGCAGTACTAATACAGAGATTAATTAAAATTCTTTTTAAAAAAAAAATATTAATATTTTATAAGAATATTTTTAAGATATACATGTCTATAATTATATAGATATATATATATAAGATTAGTCTGGCACACTTTCTATATAAAATTAAAATATAAGAAAGTAACTAATATAATTATAAAAAGAAATCTTAAATCTTTAAATATATACTTCTAGTATGCTCTTACTTTATAAAATTATATAATTAAATATTAGATAAGATTACTACACAAGAGTCTATTTTAAAAAATAAAATTACTAATTATAATTCTATTATATTAGATCTATAAGTAATCCACTACATTACTAAATTTATACTATAAATAAGTTTACTTAGATAGTTTAGTCAGGTTAAACTTAATTTTAATCCTAATTCTAACCTAGGCCAGGAACACGTAGGCCTTAGGACTATAGAAATAAATATTAAAGATATTAGATAGAAGGATTAAATATATTTTATTTAAATTAATAAGGAAGGCTACGTATACTAAAAAGAATATACATATTAGAAATAAGAAAATAAATAAAAAATAAAGAGAATAATAATTTATAAATAGTTAACTAGATAACTAGCTAGTCAGCTACAACATTTATTTATAATTATTTTTATATAACTTTACTTTATTTTTATTATATCTAGTTTAGTTATATTAAGCTATAGTGATAACCTTCCTATGTTATGATGTACATTATTTTATATATTTACTACGAGTTTAAGGGATTTAACAGTGTTTAAAACTATATTTCTACTTCAAATAGTGAAGCACCTGCATAGCTAGCATCTTACTTAGCAGGCTTAATCAGGTATAAGAATATGAATTGAATTGAATTGAATCCGCAAGGCTTCTGTAATAAATTAGTGCCTATTGGCTTGCTTAATTCTAAGGTAGATCATACTAAGACATCCTACTCCACCGGTTCATATGGTAAAATCTCGATCTAACTTGATAGAAATGGCCGTCTTCAACTCTTTCAAAATGTCACTGATCCTTCTAGGGTATCTACGATATCTAAAGTATTCAGAAATTGATCATTTGAAAAAGTAAGATAAAAGTAGGGGACCCACTGGAAGGATATAGCCGGTAAATAGGCGATTAAACTTGGGCGCCCCATCGACCCGTAATTAGGGCTTGCAGCCTGAACCGATCTCCACATGGTAATTCAACATTCAGCCAAGAGGGCCACTGAGATCCCTAGTCCCTGCTACACGTGAGTTTTTTGAGCATCACCAGCCATCTCAGATCAGCCTCATGCCAGTACGATTCTTGGGATCCCAAACAAAATTTGCCATGGCATCAATCACCCCCATACACGCGCAAGCTATCACGCAAAAGCCACCGTAAGAGCCGTTCTGGTTGTAAGAACTGGAAGCGGCGCAGGATCAAGGTTGGTTCCTTTCCGTTGGCAGCCAATGATACTGACAGAACTGTCTAGTGCGACGAAACCAAGCCGCATTGCGGCAATTGCATTCGACACGCAATTGATTGCGATTTCAGTTCCCCATCACAAGATTCTTCCGGATCGTCGGCCGAAGGGAGTCCAATGGGCCTATCCACGGATAGGCTGGATGGCGGCTATACCTATATCTCGTCGACATCCTCCCATTTCAAGCCGCCTACGCGCGCGCACATGCTCGATCCTCGACCACGTTACCTCCGCCATCGCGGGATCAACCATCTCAAGACCTCGCACAACAACAATTCCAATTCACCGCCACAGATATGGCTTTATTCCACCACTTATTGACCTCCATAGAACTCACGGGCTGGAGCCCTCGCGCGCAACAGGAGCTCTGTCGCCCAGGCTTTGCCCATCACTTTGTTCTCCGTCTGCTTCTGGCCTTTGCCGGGTTCCATATCGTACAAACACCAGACCTCGCCAACAGCCCATACATGGGGCTGCACACGGGACTTTTATACCGAGGCAGACCGCCATTTGGATATCGCGGTGCGCGAGATCAGCACGCTGGTGCCGCAAATCAACCCCAATAATTCCGCCGCTCTGTATACATCAGCCATCTTCCTCTTCCTCACCTTACGCGCCAAAGGCCCGCAACCGGGTGAATTCTTCGCTTTTCGGGACGATGGAGCCCCTAACCATCTTACTCTATTTTTAAGAATCCAGTCGATCTTCGAGTTCTATCACAATGACATCCATCCTAGTGTATTTGCGATCCACGGTGGTGAGGAACGGAGAGAAGAAAGTCTTAGCCCAGATCTCAATACACAGAGTCACTTCGAACCTCCACTACAAGCAGCCCACTACGCTGACTATCTGGTCGCGTTTCGTGACTTATTCTCAACTCTCATCCCCACCACCAACCCCCGCGCATTAAGTTATTATCAATCCTTGGATCAGCTACATTTCAGCCTGGACACGGTTCTGGGGCCATCTAGCTCGCAAGAAACAAAGGATTCTCTCTTCCCTTTAGTCTTTGCATGGCTGTATAGACTCCCCGATGCGGTAATCCATGACCTGCAACGACGAGAGCCTGTCGCTCTCATCCTCTTCGCTATACCAAAAAAAAATTCTTATTCTGCTAAGCAGTCGATAATACATTCAAAGCTATCCCTAGGTCCGTCGACGGAACATAAACCGAATGCTCGGATCCACTTTATTCAAAATCCCATCCAACCCGTTCAACACCGACGTCTCCTTGGGGGGATCCTTCAACTTGAACTCATAATTCCGCAGGATACGCGCCACCACGACCTTGGCCTCGTGGATGGCAAAGAATCGCCCAGGACAGGCCTGGGAGCCGTAGCCAAAGACCAGATGATCCGGGCCGGAAGTGACGGCTTGGAACTTTTGTTCATTGCCGGGGAGGGAGCGGAGTTTGTGGTATCTAATCCACGACTCTGGTCAGTACACCATCGAGACAATGATCGGAGACAACGTACCGAAGCCCATCAAACTCCGTCGGATTCTCCAAACTCGACTGATCAAAGTGAATGAAATGCGTATCCAGACCACACATCGTACCAGGGGGCAACACATCCCCGGTCGCAATCTTCAACGGCTTCGTAACCTTGCGAATCGTCCCCACCAGCATAAACTTATTAAACCGTTGCGCTTCCCGAATAAACGAGTCCAGCTTGGCCAATTTCGCCACATTCGCCCTCGTCATCGACACCTCGCCCACCGCCAATGCCTCCTCCCTCAACTCCTCGATATACTCCGGCCGAATGCACAAATCATACAAGATATGAAACACCGTCACGGCGGTCGTGAACAGCGCCGCTCGACCGGTGCCAATCTGCGCACTGACCTGATACTCCAGCGAACGACCTTTATTATCGGGGGACCCGTCAATCACGAGTTGAATGAGGTCGGGGGGGGGCTTGAATTTCGGATCTTTGAGATTCTCCAGCCGTTCCTCGAGGATAGGGCGGATGAGTCTGTCGGTCAGTAACCTCCTACCATATACCTCAATATCAAGGGCATCATCAACTCACTCCGCTGCCTTGGCCTTGTGTTTCCGAATCGCCCTCAACTGCGGCATCGACCACGCCACAAACGGCCTCCACAACCAATGAATCTCCCACAACTTTGGCACCGCCGAAAAGGCTCCCCCGGTGCAGTTCTGAATCACTTGCAGCTATACTCCATTAGCCCCCACCTCACCCCCAAGGGAATAAAACTCACCCACTCCGGGTCAGCAGACAACTTCTCCCCCACAAACACCCTCTGCGAGATCTTAATAATCATGCGCACGATGCGCGGGAACAGGACCATCTCCGTCCACTCCTCGCATGGGCCAATCTCCTCCAAGATCGCGGTGAGGGCGCGATCCTGCACGATCTCATACACCTGGTCCAAGAGACGGCCGACATCGCGCCGGATGAGTGTCGCGGTGGCTTTTTCGTGGCCCGTGATGCCGGTGAAGTCGCCGAGGAAGAAATCGTACGAGCCTTGTTGGAAGCTGAGGGTCGCTTCGGGGTTGTCGCGGATGTCGGAGACGCATTGGGGTGGGAGGATGATGATTTCGTTGGGGAAGTGCTGGATTTTGTAGGGGCGGTTGGGGTACTATTTTATACTCTTGTGTTAGGGGGTGGGTATATGGTTTGTGGGTGGGATAGGGGATGTACTAAGGCGGATCCACGAGCTAAGACTTCCCGGTAGGTTTCACCGGGTCGTAGCTCTACCAATGGGGCATTGAAGGTGGGGGTTTGCAGGAGGGTCTTGAGTGACTTGGGGACGAAGTGGGAGGGTCGTTTGACGTAGGTTTTGAGAAAGTCGAGGTAGAGAACATAAAGCCCCCCGAGGACGATGGAGGAGATAAGAATTGGAATGGGCCGTTTGGCTGCCTCGTGGGCCAGCGAGTACATGGTGTTGGCCACGAGCATAGACATGTTGAATTGCTTAGCCCTGATGCATCGTTGCTTGGAGATGGTTGGGAAGATAAATGTGTAAGTCCGACAGGCTGACATCCCGATTCGGAGAATTCCTGATACATGGTCATGTGCATGAAGTATACAGACGTCTGAAACAAGTCAAGTCGAGGTTGGTTCGGACATTTCCCAGAGGGTCAGCCTGTCTGAGGTGAGAGTTTAGGGCTTGTCACCGGGAATTGCCTCTTCGGGTAACCGACTCCCTCCCTTGGGGCCAGGTTATCCCAATATCTATCGGGAATGAATATTTATTCATTTCTTTACTCTTACCATTGTTAGCAATGAAATGTTGGTGGACATGCATAGACACTAACTCGTCTAACGCGACCGGGGAAATTCTTAGTCTTGTAGATTGTAATCGCCATAAATAGATAGCTGTAACAGCCGCAGTCAAATTTCTACCATCACTGCTTCTCTTTCCTGCTCGTTTCTTTATTCTCCAAGTTAAGGTGATTATTGTTTAACGATATTCGCCGTACACCATGTGCGGTCTAACTGCTCTTCTATCCCTCCAGCCACCTGTCCCCCAGAGTAATGGCCACTCAACTCCTCCAATCACTCCAGAAGAAATCAACAACAGCCTCGAAATCATCAAGCACCGCGGCCCCGACGCGCGCGGGCAATGGATCAGTCCGGACGGTCAAGTTGGTAAGTCTTCCCCCACACCTTATCTATCGAGCAACAACCTAAGTCACAGGCCTCGGCCACGTCCGCCTCTCGATCATCGACCTCAGTCCCTCCGGCACCCAACCCTTCCACAACACCCACGCCACCAACGACGTCCACGCCATCGTCAACGGCGAACTCTACGACTACGAGCGTCTCCGCGCCCAATTCGCCCCGGAATACCCCTTCCAAAGCCACAGTGACTGCGAACTAGTCCTGGCACTATACCAGCACTACGGGGTGTCCTTCCTCTCGCATCTCCGCGGCGAATTCGCCCTTGTGCTGTGGGATGCCAAGCGAAAGTTACTTATCGCGGCGCGCGATCGATATGGCATCAAGTCGTTGTATTATACGGTGCATCAGGGCCGGTTGCTGGTCGCGACGGAGATGAAGTCGTTTTTGGCGTATGGGTGGACGCCCGAGTGGGATGTGCGGACGTTGAGGGAGAATGGGTGGCGGTTTGATGAGCGGTGTTATTTTCGGGGGGTGCATAAGGTGAGTAGACTGATTGATGGTGTTGTGGGGGATGGATGCTCATGGGTTAGGTGCTTCCCGGGCATTATCTGGTCTGTCGGGAGTTTGGGGCCGTCGAGCAGAAGCCGTATTGGGATCTAGAATATCCGGACAAGGTGGGTGTCTATCGATTTGGTGGGAATTTCACTGCTGACCATGTGTATTAGCGCATTGTTGAGACCCGATCGGAGGAGGAGATGATCCTCGGGGTTCGCGAGCGCATCTTGGAAGCCGTCCGACTGCGACTGCGCGCGGATGTGCCCGTAGGGATCTATCTGAGTGGCGGGCTGGACTCGTCTGCATTGGCGGGGGTGGCTGCCCATCTGATCAAGGAAGAGCATGTCCAAGTAGGCACGGATAATAGTGGGGATATTGCGCGATTGCAATGCTTCTGCGTCCAATTTGATAAGGATAGCGGAGCGGATGAATCGGACATTGCGCAGCGCACAGCGGACTGGCTGGGCGTGGAATTGACCTGTGTCCATCTAGACGAGGCTGCGATTGCGGCCAAATTCGAGGATACCGCCTGGCACAGTGAAGCCCCCAACCCGGATGCGAATGGCATCGGCAAATTGGCGCTTTCCGAGGCCGTCCATGCGAAGGGATTGAAGGTGGTGCTCACGGGTATGACCATTCCTTTACTTTGAAAGCTCCGTCCAATCTAATGCGATACAGGGGAAGGCGCAGACGAGCACTTTGCGGGATACACGCTCTTCGCCGCCGATGCGTTGAGTGAGGCGGATTCCTCGTGGCCTTTAGGGCTGATGCCCGAGTCCGAGCGGGAGGAGGCCTGGAGCCAGGAATGCATCAAATCGGATATTTTCCAGCTAGGCGCACTCCCTCAGAATGTACCATCATCGACCAAGCGGGTGTTGAACAACGCTCGGCTGCCCCCGTCGCTGTGTACGCACACGCCCCTCCCGTTTGCGCCGTGGACCGACAGCTATGCGACCAGTGACCCCCAGACCGTACTGGCCGAGAGCTTCAACGGGCGGGCATATCATAACATGGCAACCAAGTGGCATCCGCTCCACAGCTCCCAGTACATCTGGACCAAGTCCGTGTTTCCCAACATCATGCTGCGCTATCTAGGCGACAACGTGGACATGGTAAACCACGTCGAGAGTCGCACTCCATACCTTGACCACCATGTCACCGAGTATGCCAATGCCCTGCCACCCAGTCTGAAGATGAAATACGACCCGGAGACAAAGAAGCTCCGCGAGAAACATATCCTGCGGGAGGCAATGAAACCATTCATCACGGAGGAAATTTACCACCGGGCTAAGCACCCCTACATGGGCCCCGTGCGGTATGCGGCTGACGGACCCCTCCATCGGGTGATTCAGCGGCTGGTGACCAAAGAGAATGTGGAGCAGCTGGGATTTGTGGATTGGGCCACAGCCGAGGGATTGGCGGACAAGGCATTCGTGCAGCACGACCACTCGGCGTTTCGGAATGTGCTGAGCTTGGCTCAGTTTATTGTCATCGGCAGAGGATTTGGGGCTAAAAAGGCGGGGCTGTAATTGCCACATCGAGCAACTTCCGATAGACTAATCCAGGAATCTCACCTTAAAGGTTATAAAGACTTAGGCTATAAGAGCTATAAAGACGCATTACACGAGATACTGCTATAGACATCACCGTAACATGTCTGCCCCTCACTTGGCAGCCTTTGCGGCTGGGGTCCTCTCCTATGGCCTCTACTTTCACCGTGGAGAACATCACCTCCGAATCACTCTCTACATTCAGATCCTGGCCGCCACGCTACTGTCTGTAGCAGTCTTCCTTCAATGCCAATCACATCTAGACTTTCTCACAGCTTTAACCCAAGCCGCCCGCACCGAGGGCATCTTTCTCGCCGGTTTCTACGCCACCACGTTCTTCTACCGTCTCTTCCTCCACCCCCTCAACGCATTCCCCGGTCCTTTCGGCTGTAAGATCACCAGTCTCTTCCTCCCCTTCATCTACCGACACAGCGATGGATTCCGACAGCTACAGGCATTACACGATCAGCACGGCCCCTTTGTCCGGCTCCGACCAGACTATCTCTCGATCGCACATCCCAAAGCCGTGAATGCGATCTATGGCCCAGGCTCCAAATGTACCAAAGCCGCCTGGTACGACCTGACCCATCCCATGGTCTCTCTGCAGACCTTGCGCAACAAGAAAGCTCATGACGAGCGACGCCGCGTGTGGAGTGTCGCGTTTGGCGACAAGGCCCTGCGCGGGTACGAGCAGCGATTACGCGGATACCGCAATGAATTGATGGCACACTTCAGTGCCCAGGCAGCTGCTAGCCAACCCGTCAATGTCACCAAGTGGTTCAATCTGTATAACTTTGACTTTATGGGCGACCTCGCGTTTGGCAAGTCGTTCAATATGCTCGAAACTAGTCAGGACCACTGGGCGATCCAGTTGCTGAAGGAGGCGATGATGCCCCTCGGGTTTGCCTTTCCCACGTGGTTCTTTCGACTGCTCATGTCCTTGCCCGTGGTGTCAAGGGATTGGTGGCGGCTCATTGACTTTTGTGCGCAGCGGATGGATGAACGAATGAAGGTAGGTTCTATGGATCGGTTACCTTCGCATACTGACCGGTTAGACGCCCGTGGAGATTCCAGATATCACGTCCGCGCTGGTCGCGCCGCTAAAAGGCCAGCCGCCTACCCAGCAACAACGACAGATGCTACGAGGCGATGCGCAATTGATTGTGGTAGCGGGCAGCGACACGACGGCCACCACCCTCTCCGCGGTTGTCTACCAACTGGCCCAACATCCCGACCAGGTGCAGCGACTCCGCGAGGAACTCGCCCCGTACATGACCGATCCGTCCGGAGAGGTCTTGCATGAGAAGATCGCCCATCTCCCCCATCTCAACGCCATCATCAACGAGACCCTCCGTCTCCACCCGCCGGTTGCAGCATCGCTGCAACGCAAAACTCCCCCGGAAGGCATCACCATCGATGGAGTCTACATCCCGGGCAATATGACGGTGATGTGTCCCCAGAACGTGTTGGGGCGGAGTAAGTCTGGGCCTCCTCAACTTCATCAAAAATAGGGCTAATGCAGGGCTGCCTCAGGCCACGACGCTTATGAGCGCCCGACCGAATTCCTCCCCGAGCGCTGGTATTTGCACCCGGACCTGGTCAGGGAGAAGACTGCCTTTGCTCCGTTTTCTGCCGGTATGCTGATCGATTCATACCACTTAATGAGGATGATGCTGATAATGTAGGCCCCTATGGATGTATTGGCAAGCCGCTGGCGCTGCTGAACGTTCGCACCACGCTAGCCCGACTGGTCACGACGTTCGACTTTGAGTATGCTCCAGGCGAGGATGGGATCGGATTCGAGGGCAAGGCCAAAGATAGCTTCACGATGGGGTACGGGGACTTGGAGATTTTGTTCCGCCAGCGATGATGAGGAGCTCGGGGTTAAGGGTGATCCATCATTAGTGTAATTAGTGTCTGCAGCCCAATGTAGCAATTCCCGAGGCCAGTTGGCCCGCGTTTGCCCTAACACTCCCGCCGACGGATTTAAGGTAACAGGCTGACAAGCCGCCCGGAATTAAAGCTAGATGCTGACAGGGGCTCCCCGGTCGATCATCGGCCTGAGATTGAAATACCTGGGCCAGTACCTCATATCCTCCTGATGGACTAAAATTTTTGGAGCTCTCGTCACCATGTCCATGATGGAAAAATCCCCCAGCCACGACGACGGCGTCGCCTCGCCCAGCCCTAGTTCCGACCCAACCATCACTCCGGCCACCCCCGACCCCCAATATCCCAGTCCCTTGCGACTGGCCATTATCGTCTTTGCCCTCTTCCTGGCCATCTTCCTCACCGCCCTCGATCAGACCATCATCGGAACCGCCATTCCCAAAATTACCGACCAGTTTCATAGTGTCGACGATGTCGGGTGGTATGGCAGTGCCTACTTTCTGACGAGTACCGCCCTGCAGCCGGCGTATGGTCGCATGTACATGCTGTTTGATGTGAAATGGTCCTTTCTGGTGGCCATTTTCATCTTTGAATTGGGTTCCTTGATCTGTGCCGTGGCGCCGAACAGCGCGACCCTCATCGGAGGTAGGGCTGTGGCGGGCACGGGCGTGGGTGGGATTTTCTCGGGGGCGCTGGTGATTCTATCGCTGACTGGTATGCACAATGCCTCCTCCAGGGTGGAGAGAGAGAATGCTGACCATTGGAAGTTCCGCTGAAAAAGCGCCCGACCGTCTTTGGCCTGTTTGGCCTGGTCTGGGGTCTGGCCTCGGTGGTCGGTCCCTTGCTGGGCGGTGCGTTTACGGATGGCCCCAGTTGGCGCTGGTGTTTCTACATCAATCTCCCCATCGGTGCGGTGTCCGTCGCGGTGATCATCGTCATCCTGCATCTGCCCAAGACGGCCCCGACCGGACAATCCTTCCTGCAGCGCCTCGTCAACCTCGATTTGCTCGGGGTGGGCTTCCTGCTCCCCACCGTGGTCTGTCTCCTGCTGGCGCTACAATGGGGGGGGACGACCTACGCCTGGAACAACTCACGGATCATCGGCCTGTTTATCGGCTTCGGGCTGATCCTGATCTGCTTCGTGGGCTCGCAGATCTGGCTCGGCGACAAGGCCACGCTGCCCCCGCGGATCATGAAGATGCGCACGACCATCTCCCTCAGCTGCTTCTCGCTCGGCTTCGGCGGGGCCTACTACCTCCTGATGTATTACCTCCCCATCTACTTCCAGAGCGTGCGGAACGTCTCGGCCGTGCACTCGGGCATCGACATCCTCCCCATCCTGATCGCGCAGTCCATCTTCTCCGTGGCCATCGGGGCCGGCGTCAGTGCCGTGGGCTACTACACGCCCTTCTTGATCGGCAGCACCGCCATCTTCTGCATCGGGGCAGGTCTCCTCACCCTCTACACGACGGACATCCCCACCGGCAAGTGGATCGGCTATCAGATTCTGACGGGGGCCGGCGTGGGGGCGGGATTCCAGATCCCCATGACGGCCATCCAGACCATCCTCGACCAGGCCGATATCCCGATCGGATCGGCGGCGGTGATCTTCTTCCAGAGTCTGGGCGGAGCGGTTTTCATCTCCGTGGGCGAGTCGGTGTTCGAGAACCGTCTGGCCAAGGAAATTGCCAAGAATGCTCCGCAGGTCTCGCCCAGTTTGATCCTGGATGCGGGGGCCACGGCGTTCCGGACGGCGTTGGCCGAGGCGGGGCAGCTGGATGCGTTGGATGCCGTGTTGGATGCGTATATGGTTGGACTGCGGGATGTGTTTCGGGTGACGTTGGCGTTGATTCTCTTTGCGTTTGTGTCGTCGTTGCCGCTGGAGTGGAAGAGCGTGAAGCATGTGGCGGAGGCCAAGGCGACGACTCCGACTTCGGAAGGAGATGAAGCTGCGTAGGGTCATAAACTAATCCATCCATCTATCTTCGCTAGCATCGGGACTTTCCAGAATAGGCTGGCTGTGCTGAGGCTGTGATCATGTCTACTTTCATATACTTGAGTCAAAGGATCAATCCAACCAACTACCAAATGTAGAAATTCCCGCCAGATGCTTCAACGGAAGCCGTCGTACCATATATATGCACATCCACTCTGTCCAGTTCACCATACCTCTAACCAGTCCCAGCGAACCAGAGACAGTATGACTGTATCAACCGAAAAGGTGGCCACCACCACCACCACCATTCCCGATAAACGCATCCCCTCAGTAAGCCTATCCCCACCACCATCAACCCTAACACTGACCACCATCCAGCTCCTCAACCCCCTCCACCTCCTCAAAACCCTCTACCTCTTCACCGAAAGCGACTTCCTCACCTTCGTCATCCCCAACACCCTCTTCGGAATCTTCTCCGCCCTCCGCGGCGCCCCCCTCACCCCCACCCCCATCCCCCCCTTGACCCTCCTGCACCGCCTCCCCTTGATCCTCCTCTGGAACTGGCTCAACCTATTGATCTTCGACCTCGCCAACCAACGCCACCCCACCTCCCTCCTCGAAGACACCATCAACAAACCCTGGCGCCCTCTGCCCTCCGGCCTCATCACCATCCCCCAAACCCGGCGTCTCCTCCTCCTCGCCCTCCCCCTCATCCTCCTCCTCAACTTCACCCTCCTCGGCCCCTGGCAAGAAACATGTCTCCTCTACATCCTCACCTGGATCTACAACGACCTCGGCGCAGGCGACCACGACGGCCCCATCATCCGAAACCTAGTGATCGCGTGCGCCTTCTCCCAATACAATAAAGGGTCCCTCCGCATGGCGACCCTCGCCCCCTCATACCCCGTCCCAATCACCACCTGGTCCTGGCTAGCCATTACCTCCGCCGTCATCGGCACAACCATGCACGTCCAAGATCTGAAAGATCAAGACGGCGATCGGGCCAAGAATCGCCAGACCGCGCCGTTGGTGTGGGGGGATAGTGTGGCGCGGTGGACCATTGCCGTGCCTGTGGGTGTGTGGTCGCTCGTGTGTCCGTGGTTTTGGGGACTGGGGGGGTGGGGGTATCTTTTGCCGGTTGGGGTGGG